TTAAATCTTTGTCACTTCGTCGAGATATGTCAACGCATAACGATGTCATACCAGGATGATTATGAATAGAAATTTTTTTCCACCGGAACGCCGATATTAGGCGGAGAGCGAGCAAGCGAGCTAGAGAGAAAGAGGTGAATTTATTACAACCAAAAACACTTCACAATTAAGCCCATTATGCTTGAATTACACATTTCGGTTGGAAATATTCTCGGTATTTTCTTATATGAAACGAAAGCTTCTTTCGTCGAGCAATGAAGATGCAAGTTCCAGGAAAAATGAAATTGCTTTACGTTTTTTGCGGTTCGATTTTGGTGCGATAATATTTTTATTGCGTATTAAACTCAAATTATGAGTGGAAAAATTTTATTTTATCGATTTGCGAGGGTGACGCCATGCACAGCAGAAAGCAAATACAGAGAACGTCGGATGAAAATGGCAGTAATCGCTTCAATAAGATGTGCATAATGCTTTGATTTGGGTGATTGTGTGCGGAAAATGCTTGTTTGCTTGTCAGTTTTTTTTTGTCTCCCATGTATGCGTTTGGGTATGCTCATTTGATATGCGTCTTTTGATTGGTGATTTAATTTGCTTAAATGTTCGAGAGACTCCGTTCTGAGCGTATTAAAATATAGCTAAAGTCATCAATCTTATACGGGTTTTTATGTACGTACGATTTCGATAAATTACTCGCTTCCTGCTCTAAATGCGCTCCATGGAATGTGAAATTTCTGCCAAATTTCTGGCTCCACCATCTCCATCCGAAGCCATATTATAAGACACTAACATGCTACCATATTCCCATTTTCCCATATCACCATTATTATTATTACGTTACTATCACAGAAGCACTTTGCGATTGAAGAATTTCGCCAACCGGTTGTGCGTGTGTGCGTGTATGCACTCAACGACAATTTAACTAAAGAGCGACGAGTGAAGTGAAGAAGCAAGAGAAAAAATTGAGCACCAAGTATTAAAGAAGATGATAAAAAAAATCGCTGGAATGGAGAACGGAGGGAAATAAGAAAGTATAAATTTCATTCGAGAAGCAATCTATTTTAAATCCTATTTACTTAAACGCCATGATCCCTTCAAGTACCCATGACTTACAGAGCTGTTTCTATATAATTGAATTTCATATGAGTGTGTGTGTGTGTGTGTGTGTGTGTGTGTGTATGTATGTATGTGTGTGTGCGTGTGTCTGTGTATCGAGTGTGAGAAACATGCATGCATTATGTTTTCGATCTTTTTATGCCAAAAAGCTTTACTATCACGGCATCATTGAAAGACGACTCCGATATACGATACCCAAAGCACATCCATGTGTACTAAAGCACATCCATCTCATAGGAACACCAGTCAACACTGCAACGCTCCTAGATAATTCTGATTGAGGCCCAGAACGAACCAGACGGAAGATAATAATAAGTCAAAAAAATGAATTCCAACTCACCCAAACACACTAACAACATAGAGAAAAAGCAAGAGGCATAAGGATGAATCCATATTCTTAAGAAGTGTTTCATTCCAAGAAGGAAAAAAACTGCCCAAATTTGTAAATGAATAAGAAAAAAGTGGAAAAATATTAAAATCATCATTTTTGCATCAAAAAAGTAAAAATCGGTGGAAATATCTGTGCAAAAATGGCATTTAGGAGCACCAGTGCGTGCGAAAATTCACATTCCCACCAATCGGTACACTTGAACGTGACCGCATTTTGTTAAGAGATTGCCTTTTACAAAAGGGAATCCAATGGCAAATTGATGTGCACTTTTGCTTATTACAAATTCGAAAGGAACTCAGCTGATTTTCTTCGACCTTTTTCGAATCATCACATGACATGCAAATAGCAATAGAGATTAGGTACTATTAGAGAATTGATACCTTCTGTACGAAACAGTATTTTTCAACCAGATGAACGCGTTTCATTCATTTCATACGGATATGTTTTCTGGTCGTACAAATTTTATCAAATAGCATAGGAAGAGATGTAATCATTATGAATTTATGAAACGTTGAGTAAAAATAACATAAAAATAGAAAGAAAATTAGAAATAAATCCAACTGCAACCTATCTCACTGTTGATGTGGATCTTTTCTGTTACAAATTTTCATTTTATCTTATAAGAGACGTTAGTTTTTGATTGATTTGGACATACCGAAAATCATTCACGGAATCGTTAGGTACATGGTTTTGAGCCTCTTATGATTAAATTTATTTTCAATTTCTCTCTCTTTTTCAATGTGTTGCACCGGATATTGTGAATTATTCAGTTGTAGCAAGTAACTATGAATTTGTATCGTCTGAAATTCCAATTTCACACAAACAAACGTTATGAAAAAGACGTTGTCACATTGTCAATTTGCATTCTCCGCCAAAGTCAATATATATGAACCATTGCGACGGAAAAATTCCCTCAGAATACTTCAGAAATGAAGCGAAACATGGATTTTGTCTGCGAACAAAGAGCAACAATGCAAAATATCAAAAAATGCCACAAAGCAAGTTTTGGCCTTGAACTGCAACATGATATGTTGCACTTTGTTTCTCACACTTGTTTTGTGTCGCTTTGGTTCAAACCCTTGCACGGTTGCTCTTTGTTCGTAGACAAAATCCATGTTTTGCTTCATTTCTGAAGTATTCTGAGGGATTTTTTTTTGTCGCAACGATTCTTATACTAGTATTTTATATTACACGGTGTAGATGATGTATCCTGGAGAAAAATACACTCTGAGCGCATGTATGAGCGTATTGCGAAGTGAAGAAGATAGTCAGTGTTGAACTGACAGTTCATTCGAATGCTTGTAGTTAATACTGCAGCTATTGTGTGCAAAGTTATTGTATGCTCAAATATCATGTGATTATTTTCATTAGAAATTAGATTTAATTCATATTTTCTGTTCGGTAGGTATTTCCTAATATTCATTTCAGCATATTCCTTCTGCGAACTCGGTTCAATTTTGATCAAAATCAATCAATTAAATCGAACCGTTCAAGTGTTTCATTCTCTCTTTCAAATATACTTAATGTGTCGTACTTTAGCAGTCCATATAACACGGGAGTGACAGTGCCATTTCAAAGTTGTATACGGCAATGTTTTGACTGTTGACCAAATTGCCGAATGCGTTGGTCGCTTCAGAGAAGAGAAGAATTTCTACAATTTTTTTTAAAATAATTATAAATATGCCCGTTATTGTTTCGAAATGTATAAAAATTTCTACACAAGATACACAAACAAATGTTTTGTAATGAGACTCTCATTAAGTGAGTGACGGAGTTGAGTTGTCAATTTGTTTGTGTTATTAATTAAAGACAACCTCCTAAACGTGTTTTAATGACATTTTTACGTTGATTCTAATTCATTTCATATTTACATCAGGTGAATTTGCGGCGAAATTGAACAACAGTCATTGAATCATGAAGAATTCAATCGGTTCCATAACCAATTTCGACAAACTATTCCAAAGCAGTGGTCTGAACGAAGACTGTTTGGTACACATCTTGAAATACTTGAGTGTTTGTGACTTGCTAACAGTATGTGATTTGGGATACGGAAACTGATAAATCATTTACGAATCTCGTCAACGATCGTGTAATCAAGGGGAAACTCTTTGATTTTGGTCAAATTCAATCACAACGCTCATGGTCAGTCATCAAAGTGTTCGAAGTTTGAAAACTTCGGCCAATCCATGAAACGATTGAAAGTAAATACATCGACACACAGAATTATATCGTTTTAAGTGAAACTTGATTCATTTATTTCTTCAAATTCCAGGTTATAATAGCACCACTCCTGCGAAAAGTGGTCAAATACTGCCGAATCGACAATTTACTGGAGTTGGAAATCGTAATAGACACAAAAGACAATGCTACTCTTCCCATCGATGAGAGTGACCTATGGGAGGGAGGATGATGATGAATTAATGCTGGATATTGAAAATGAGCTACGGCCTCAAGTTCAACCATTTTTTCGCCAACTTAACAAGTTAACGTTGCGATGTTTGAAGTTGGAACATTTGAACCCCGAATTTTTTGGCCAAATTAATTTCGCCAATCTCACGCACTTGACAGTTGTTCATTTTGATTCTACCAAAAGTTGGATAACGCTATTTCCACAGCAACTTTGTACAAATATCAAGGAGTTGCGTATGATGAACGTAGATTTATTTGAATCACTCCATAGATTTAAAGAATTTCTTCAACAATTTTCCAATCTTGAAGTGTTTTTTCACACACGCGGCTCTCTTGGGATTATACCGGTCGCTGAAAAGTTGCTCCGACGTTTTCCGAATTTAAGCGGTTTTGGATATAGCGATCGATGTGGTCCGAATACAGTTCGGTCGGCTGTCATCGATGAACATTTTGCAATACTTGCAAATTTCAGAAATTTAACCGAGTTTCATCTGGATGCCAGAATTTTCACGTGATTTTTAGGTTTTTGCCGCATATCAAATTGTTATCCATTTGGGAAATGGAACAATTTCACCATCAGCCAGTTGAAGCTCGACGCATCGTTCAATCAATCAGAAAAACTATTTCTGCACGCAGTGCCCATTCTCCAACTAATGATGGTATTCACCTGCTTGTCAACCAACGCCAATACAACGAATTCAAGGCACTTAAAAACATTGACGATACGCATGACCATCGTAATGTAACATGGATCATTTCAGAAATTTGGATTTTTTTTTTACTTTTATTCACATAATATAAAATGTGAAAATTTCATAGAAATATAATATAATTGTTAAGAATAATTTTTTTGCAACTAAAGTATTTCATAAACCATTGTTCAGAAGTAGCTGAATATCACTAATCAAATATATTAACTCCAACTTATAATTGGCTAATAAATAATTGTAAGAAACAGTGAAAATTGTGATAAAATCAGTAAAATACTTGAAAAAAGTACTGTTGTCAGTGCTTTAGTTTCATCATCAATACAATGCTTTATGCTCGTGCAAAATTAGATTGAACAAAACAGTGGAGCTGTGTTGTATTCATTTTGTGAATCGGACCAACATCATTAGCGTAGAGTAAATTTTATTCGTCATCTAAAATAGATTGAATTGTACAAATTTTCAGATTTCAAAGCGAAAAAAAAACAGGTTACAGTTGAGAATGTTTCGAAATTGAGTTCAGCGAATGGGCCGATGCGAAGGATTGCACCATTTTGCAATCGATTCAGCGTGTGAGCGTAGCTTAGTTGATTCTGCGTCGACATGAGATACCATGGCATTCCATGAAATTTCAGCACCAACATTTTATTCTACACAAAATCGAAAGAATTATTTGGTAAATGTGTTGATTTCAGATAATAATGGGTGCACATTACAGCTGTTACCACTTCGTTCCCGATGTCGCATAAAATGTAAAGCTACGGCATATACGGTTAAACATGAAGTTGAAGATGTGGTCAAATTGTTTTTTTTTTGAAAATTCACAAAAATGAACCAAAACATCAAAAATCTTTTCAAAAAAATATATATTCATTTAAATAAATAACCTGTGAATAGGTCAGAAAAGCCGTTCCAAGTCCACTGGTCCAGTCGACCTTTTGAACAAAGGCAAAAAAAAGGAAAGGAAAGATGGAAGGAAGGAATTTAGAAAACGGTTCTTGTTTTATAAAACTACAACACTTACATACAAATAGAAGAAAGCAGCGATTGATACCGAAAAGGTTAGCATGATTGGTTGAAGGAAAAATTTCCAATAATATAATTCGGAAAGTAGCAAAATAAAACTGAAACGATAAATAGGCAAATTTCAAACAAAATTCTCGTAGAAGATGAGCTAACATACCGATCGAGATCTTGCACTTGGACTAAAATATTTCGTACTTTTAAATCGATAAATCCCTTCATGTCATCCGCTTTGGGACATTCAATGCAATCCGATATCTCATCGATGGCATGGCATATAGCTACCGTGCTGGCCCACACATTATTTTTCAAAATGCAAGTCATAATTTCGATGCCTTCATTCGAAAGATATCGATTAAAAACTAACTGATCATTTTCTAACATTTTGTAATAAAATTACCAATGTTGCCCGTTGCACCGATTAAGACCATGAATATTTGATTCACTAAATTTAATATAATTCCATTCTTTGTTTCAAGATCGGTGAATGGTAGAACGACTGGAATCGGCAGTTGAATATCATTATTGGCAACAAATGCATACATTGGAAATATCAGCAGAATAATCATCGAAGTGGCCACAATCCCAAGCATTGATAAAGTGCTTTTGAACAATTTAATCGCACTTTGATTACAAACACGAATGTAGTCCGGATTTGAATCTTCTTCAACATGGGTATAAATTCGGTCGCCGGCAAAAAACGCAAGACTTTGATAGGCTTTTTTCTTGGATGGAATCAACACCAAAACATAGCAAAGAGCAGACTGTTTTGGTACAGAGAATACAAATGAAAAATCAATTTTATTTGTTGGAAATTCAATGCTAATTACTGGAATTACAACGCCAAACAATGGTGTGACTAAGATGCCGGTTAGCGGTGTTTCGATAAAATACCAAATTGTATAGAAAAATGATATGAAAATATCCAAACACGTCAGTCCAGGTGCATAGGAGTACCACCTATCGTAAATTGATTGGAATTATTCATCATCATTTTTGTTTTTATTTTGTGTTGAAATTTTGGATTACACTTACCACACTTCATAGCTAGGGTCTAAGACCGGAACACCTGAGACAATCAATTTTTTATGTAAAGAAACCGTTTATTTGTTAAAAGACGTCAAATAAACCAACTCACCCGTTAATGTCAACACGAAAATTCCAATATTTCGCGTAAATTCCCATTTTCCCCTTGGACTTCGACTCATAAACTCTTCTTTAATTGCTTGATATTTTTCAAAAATGTGTTTAAACATCTTCCTCTCTTAACTCTGCTCCAAGTTGATTTGCAGTGAATGGATTGCGCAACAGAACTAAATTGAAATGCTTCATGATTCGTATATATATACATTTTAAGTTGAAATACTTTAAAAGGAATTAACAATGGTTGGAGTATGTGCATGAGTGCATGTGATATTATGCAGCCGGCCAACAGATGGAAAGTTTGAAGGTTTTTTCATTCATTTCATACAGTTAGATTCGAAAACAAGCATTAAAAATTATTAATGCAATAGGATCGCATTTCATTGCTGATTTCAAAAAGTATATTCAAAGAGAAATATTTAATTGTTTTTTCCTTCCGTGAAATGGCAGTTGGACATCGATTTCATTCTATAATTCATAACATTTTCATAATTCGAAATTTTAATAATCTAGTATTTTCTACGAAAACGATTAAAATGGTTAGATGTAGCAATTACTTGTATTGATAAGTCCTTGAATTTAGTGCATGTTTAAATTTTTATTGAAAAGGAAAAACTTTTCAATGAGGTAGAAAACATAAATGTATATAAATAATTGAATGAACATAGTGTACGTTGTATATTGATTGTTCTTTTCTGTTTCAAAATATTAGGTTTGTTTGCTATACTCGAATATTGTTAATGCTCGAATATTAATGTTGATGTCAATATGAAGAGCCCATGGCTCAAATCGAGTTCAAATTCATTTTGCCATTTTCGTGAACATCAGAAGTAATGATCCAATCCTTTTTGTCAACTGAAAAATAATTGAAAATTTATTACGCCGTGTCATTATATCGCCGAATAAATTATTACAAATGTCATAGTTTCAAAGTTGAGTGAAGCCAACGGCCCGATTCGATGAACCGCATTTTTTTTT